CCCCAAAACCCCAAAACCCCAAAACCCCTATGGATAATAATTTACGAATAAAGTATGATAAATTGATAGAATAATATATAAAGTGTTTTTCAATAAAAAAAATCAATATGTATATAAAGAGATCCTATGTAAAATTCAGAAATCAGTCAAAGGAATCTCCCTAAAAGGAGATATTCAACGAATTCTACAAGAAATCTATAATTGGAGACAGCTGAGTAAAAAACAATAGCTAATACACTACTTTAAATTCAAAAGAAAAATTTAACAGTTTTGAAAGTAAGAGTTAAAATCTCAAGGCTAACAACGAGATTAAAATTTACAATCAAAGATTAATGAATGATGAGAAATTAAGATTAAGTCTTCAGTCAAACGAAGAGTTAAGACTGAGACAGGATGACCAACAGATAGAGCCTTATATGAGAATCAATAATCATAAAAACAATAACTTAATAAGCTCTGAGCAAATGAAATTTGGATAGAGTAGAGTGCCAAATATTGACATCACATAAATCTCCACTAAATAAAACTATCCTAAAAACGATTCAAATAGTCTATTAATGCCAGCACCAAACATGTAACCAAGAGTGTATGCTACAAACAGAGACGCTCAATATAATTCAAAAACTTTTGATATGGGCCTTTTATAGCATTAAAAAGAAGAGGGAAATTCAATCTAAGATGACAAATTTGTTGAAAATTTAAACAAGAAGCAGATTCATTAGCTGGATTCAAATTCATAATTAGACGATTCTCATGCTATCAGCTAATATTAAGCATCCCTTTTCTAGGACTAAGGCTAGACAGAAATGGGCTACAATTTAAAGTCAGGCCCAGGCAGAAAACCAATTCTAATGAATGAAAGTGCAATGAAAAGACCAGCTTATAAGTTAATGATTGGAAATGTCCGAGACATTAATAATGATTTAATTTAGTAAAATCGGGATCAGAACACAAGCGTGAATTAAAATAACTGCTTTAACAGTAGTTAGGAGAGCTAGCAACGATCATATATGAAAGATTCTGTAAGATAAGACAGAGGAAATCCATCAATTAATGTTCTCAAAAGTCCTTAGGAAAAGCCATTTTACCCTGTAGTTACAGAAATGAGGAAATTAATCCATATTTTGAGGAAGAATTCTAGTTTCTAAAATCTTAGTGAATCACTCTCAAATTTGGTTGAAAACTATCATCACTCATAAAATTCTTTTATACAAGAGCTCTTTAAGTAGTTATTGAATCAGGTACACGGCAATGATCTCTAAGCAACTACATAGATACTTATTATTCTTTCCCTTATCAAAGTTGATAATGTATAAAAGCCTTCAGACAATTTAATACCAAGGCTAGATATTTCGTAAAGTACTCCTTTGAGCCCATAAGATAGAAGTAGGCTATCAGATTAATAAAGAATTGAAAAGATTATAAACGAGACAATAAGTGTCAATCCAAAAAAGACTTTTGATTCAATTGATGATAATGATGTGGATATTGATAACTCTCCTAAGTCCCTGCTTTCAGTAAGGACTCTGGGCCAATCAAATATGGTAAAAAAGTCACTCTCTCATTTAAAGCAAGATGATGAAAACTAAAACGATTTTATGCATAAAATGAAGTAAAATGAGAGAAAAAAATAGCTCAATACTCCAATTGCAGCACAGTCAAACTAATTTAGCTTTAAAGATGGAGAGACCAATAAAATGAGCAACATTGGCAAAGGTTAAGATCAAAATAGCCTTAGTGAAAGCAAAGGCAGTAAAAATTCAGACCAGATCTAAAATTTTAACACCTAGAGTATTGTAGTAAAATCATAGAAAGTTCATCTTCAAGCAAATTAAAAGCCTCCAATACCTCCCAATGATACATAGAAAAAAGATCCAAATTCCCTAAAATCGCAACTAAATGACGCAAGGAAATAAATAGAAAATAAAATAAATTTAGCCGACTAAAAGATTGAACAGCAGATCAAATAAAGGAAAATGGAATAAGGCAAGGACTTAGTAAGATTTTTCAAAACTCTGGGCGAAGAAATTAAAAACAGCAGTCAATTTAAGCATTAGCCAAATATCCAAAGCATCTAATTAGCACCTTTATATGAGGTAATACTTACTTATCATTAACAACATTTTTAAATTCAATGTAGAAATGTGTTTAGCAGAAGCTGGTGAAGGAACAGTTTAAGGATTTCATTATCTCAGAATTTAGAAAGTAGACTATCATGATGGAGGAAAGATAAAGATTAACTAGCAATGAGCCATCAAGCAGAGATTCATCAGTCAAAAAAAGAAAGCATAATTTGTTTAGCAGCAGTAGTTAGAGCAACATCAATTAAGACAAATCTCATGCCACTGAGATAAGTTAATAGCTAAGTCATGCTAATTCCCAATCCAGTTTAAATCAACCTGATAAGAAAATCTATCCTAATAAATTTGCCACTAATCCAAAGCGACCTGTTCCCATTGAGGTGATCAATGAAAAAGATGAAAAGGACTATCTTTCTGATGATTTGGAGTAAAAATCTCACAGCAAGCAAGACAAAAGAATGTACTTTTCTCTTTTTAAAGTAGACTAAGCTGACATGAAAACTAATACCTAAAAGGTTTCGCCTAATAAGGTTCCTCCTTTGGACTTGACAAAGCTAAATAAAAAGAAAAAATGACCAAAACTTGAAATGTACCTCTAATTACTTTATAATTTCTCTGAATTAAAGTGCTTTTTATAAGCATAATATGAATTATATAATCATTTAAATTCTTACTCCAAAGAGAGAAAAATATTGAAGTTGGGGTTTTGGGGTTTTGGGGTTTTGGGG